ACCTGCTGCTGTCAACTCAGGGAGGTCAAAATGTAGGACTAAAGTGTTTAATTTAATCCAAAAAATCCGAAGTAATGCCAAACACAAACTTCCAGAACTGAAAACAAGAGCGGACAAACGTGGTAGAAATTCAAAAGACTGCAAACGACAAAATAACAAGTATCAAACCAGGTCGAAATGGTTAAAAAGTCCGCACCAAAACAAATCAGGAGTTTTCAAATTATTTTTTTAATTTTACAAAACATACGCAGGTCGATATTTTTCTCTGTGGACTCATGTTTTTGTCCGTGCCTGGCCACATCGTAATATTCGACAAATTTGATCGGGACAATGTGATAGAAACAAATGTAAATATACCGGATTATAGCTACTAAGCTAGATTTCATCCAAAGTCCCTAGACAGGAAAATACAGAGGAAAAGACAACATACAATTTTATGAAATACAAAATAATACGGTACAATACAGACAGCACTGTTTAATCTCGGCTCTAGTCAACCAAGATTATCATTGGTTGAGTTATAGTTATTTTTTCATACTTAAACCAAGACATTCAGGATGCGTTCACACGTTGAAGTTAACGGGGAATGTTATAGTTCATTTGTAAATATGTGAAAGCACCGCGCGTACATTACACTCGTACATGTTCCATAGACGATTCGGGGACTCCACAGGGACTAGTGTTTGGACTGCATTTATTCCCCACGTGAAGCATCTATGAGTGTCCAAAAAAGCGCTAGAAAAGTTTGATGTATTATTATTATTATTATGTGTTTTGAAGTCCAGAAGTGTGAAAAAAACCCTTGATAAAAAGACACATATTTTTTCCATTTTCCTGTATTTAGCCTAATTCAGAAAAAATCGCTAATACATTCTAGCGTTTTTTTTTAACATAATCTATGGCTCAGTTGGGAACTTCTCCAGTCAAGCTGAGATCAAGATTTTCTGTAAATATGTGAAACGCACCAACATTACACTTGTACATGTTCCATAGACGGTTCGGGGACTCCACAAGGACTGGTGTTTGGACTCCCTGTGTTTTCCATTTTTCTGTATTCAGCCTAATTCAGACAAAATCGCTAGTACATTCTAGCGTTTTTTTACCATAATCTATGACTCAGTTGGGAACTTCTCCAGTCAAGCTGAGATCAAGCTGAGATCATGCTGTGAATATGTGAAAGCACCGAGCGTACATTACACTTACAGTATGTTATATAGACAGTTTGGGGACTGCATGTGTTTTCAAGTCCAGTTGACCAGAAAGTGTGAAAAAAACATGAAAAGACAGGTTTTTTCCCCCCCCCATTTTCCTGTATCTAGCCAAATTCATCACTAATACATTCTAGCATATTTTTTTAATTATTTTTTTTCATGATCAATGGCTCAGTTGGGAACTCCTCCAGTCGAGCTAAGATTACACTCGTACATGTCCCATAGACAGTTCGGGGACTCCACAAGGACTGGTGTTTGGACTGCATGTGTTTTTAAGTCCAGTTGACCAGAAAGTGACTATTTTCCTCTATTTAGCCAAATTCACCAGTACATTCTAGCGTTTTTTTTTTTAACATAATTAATGGCTCAGTTGGGAACTTCTCCAGTCAAGCTAAGGTTCAAAACAAACACCAGCTGTGCCTATAATGTCATCTATGCTACTTACTACTTACTACAACCTACTCACAGAAGGTTAGATTCATAAGTCTGATCGTTTGCATGGCAGGCTGAAATGTGACTGTGAGCTTTGTGCCGACAGGTCAGGCTTAAGTGTACATTTGATTATCACATTTAGAAAAGTGTCCCGTGTCCAGAGAGCCTCATAAAGAACCCACAGTGTAGTGCAGCGACGGAGACAGTGGCATTCCTGAACCTCCATGTGTGAGTGCAGACGAGAATGTGAGTTGTTGCATTGTTTTGTATGACTGTTGTGTGAGATCAGCATTTTCCTTCCCCTCTCTATGCAGCGCTAACAGGCCCAGCGGAAACCGGAGGTCAGCTAATCCCCCAGTGACTGCCGACCCCGCAGCTCTGGCCCTTCCATTGTGGGACCGCACTCAGCCACTTTTCATTCTGCAGCCCGCCGGTGTGACACTTTGTTTATTAGTGCATTTGGCCCCAGTTTTGTGCTTCCCCCTGGATGAAAGCAGGAAGCAGACGGGTCCAGTGTGTGACCTGTGGGCCTGGAAGTGAAGCAGTGTTGGGTTTTACACCAGGTCATCTGCACCAGGCCTTCCAGATGAGGGTGGCTAGGGGCTAAAGGGTTAAAGGGCTAAAGGCAAGTTTATTTGTATAGCACAATTCATACACAAGGCAACTCAAAGTGCTGAACAAGACAAGACAGCGTTAAAATCATGAATAATCACAGAACATTAAAAAGAAAGATAAAAATATAGAATCCCTTAGTTGTAGCACAGCTAAACAGAACTGTCTTTAACCTGGTGTTAAACATTGTCAGAGAGGAGGCCTGTCTCACATCTTCAGGAAGATTGTTCCAGATTTTAGCAGCATGAATCTGAAAAGCAGCCTCCCCATGTTTAGTCCTGACTCTGGGCACTAACAGGAGTCCAGTCTCTGTACTCATCAGAGTCCCAGCAGGAGTCCAGTCCCTGTGCTCCTCAGAGTCCCAGCAGGAGACCAGTCCCTGTGCCCCTCAGAGTCCCAGCAGGAGGCCAGTCCCTGTGCTCCTCAGAGTCCCAGCAGGAGTCCAGTCCCTGTGCTCCTCAGAGTCCCAGCAGGAGTCCAGTCCCTGTGCTCCTCAGAGTCCCAGCAGGAGGCCAGTCCCTGTGCTCCTCAGAGTCCCAGCAGGAGTCCAGTCCCTGTGCTCCTCAGAGTCCCAGCAGGAGTCCAGTCCCTGTGCTCCTCAGAGTCCGGGCTGGTTCATATGGGACTAACATGTCACTAATATATTTTGGTGCGAGGCCATGGAGAGATTTGTAACAAGCAGAGCTGTTTTAAAGTCTATTCTCTGAGCCACAGGAAGCCAGTGCAGAGACCTGAGAACTGGACTAATGTGGTCGTACTTCCTGGTTCTAGTCAGGACTAATGTGGTCGTACTTCCTGGTTCTAGTCAGGACTAATGTGGTCGTACTTCCTGGTTCTAGTCAGGACTAATGTGGTCGTACTTCCTGGTTCTAGTCAGGACTAATGTGGTCGTACTTCCTGGTTCAAGTCAGGACTAATGTGGTCGTACTTCCTGGTTCTAGTCAGGACTAATATGGTCGTACTTCCTGGTTCTAGTCAGGACTGGAGCTGCTGCATTTTGAATGTACTGCAGCTGTTTTACAGCCTGTTTGGACAGACCTGTGAGCAGGCCATTGCAGTAGTCTAACCTACTGGAGACAAATGCATGGATAAGAATCTCCAAGTCTGCTTTAGACACTATGTTTTTGATCCTGGCAATGTTTTTTAGATGGTAAAAAGCTGCTGATATGATTTGATGTAGCTATTAAAATGTAAGTCTGAGTCCAGTATTACCCCTAGATATCTGACCTGTGCTAAAGTGCTAAAGGGCTAAAGTGCTGCTCTTGCTGTATCTGACCGTTCTGTAAAAGTTGAAGAGAACAAATTATTCAAGAGCAACTTTAAGTGTTCAAAGTTTAAACATATCACAGTTGTCTGTCTTTGTTTTCCCACTCAAAGTATCCGCATCAACAGTAAATATAAGTAAGTAATAAGCAAGTTTAAGTAAGTATAAGTAAGAAACAGTTTGTACCAACACTCTGCTGTGGTAAATCACTACAGCACTTGTCAATACAGATGTTTGTTGTCTCATTTCTTTTACTAAATCATTTTCAACCAAATTAAAGATGAAAGATTATATTCACTGAGTCCGTCACTCCATATCTGTCAATCACAACTATTTATCTGTCTTTATGCAATGAATACACTATTTCTATTTACTTTGAACTGATGGAACTTTCTCCTTCCTGTAATTTTATGGAAATACCTCGAGGCCTTGTTTGAAGGGAATTAGTCTACACCAGTGTTCCCCGACCTTCTCTCTCATTGTAAACGTTCACACAACACACCACGAGTTGAAACTGATATAAATCTTAAACTGTGAAGCCTTCATTAAAACCACAAAGTCTTTCTTATCAAAGTGTTTGTGCAGAAGATCAAAGATACACACAAAAGTCCAAATGCGGCCCACAAGACCAATTTTAGTGGCCCCTGAAATGATTATCAATGATTATTATTACATTGACTTGAAGTTTTGTTTGGAAATGGGCTGCTATGGCATGTTATACCTCATTTTAAATAACAGGAAAACAACCATATCATTGAATCTGTTCTAAAAAGTCATGTCATTAGAAGTTAAATTAGTAGTTATTACATATATATAACAGAATATACCAGAATATAATTTACAAACTCATGTCAAATAATACTTTTGGCTCAAACCATCTGTCCCCCGACCAAAATGAGTTTGACCCCCCTGTTCTACATTATTTTATTTTCACATTCTATATATAAACAGCCAACCTGGCATGTATTTACAGATACACTTCATAGTCCGACCATCTCATTCTGCAGCTTTGTCCGACAGTCTATAGAGAACTCCCCCCGTCCAATCCAAACAAGGCAGTAGATAAATAATTCAACTTGTTGTAAAACCCATGTCCGAGGTTGAGACAAGACAGACGAGAAGCCGCTCACATTCTTCTCGGGCCGTTTGAAAAGTGGTCTTAGAGCTGTCTGGCTGCGGAGACAGATCTGCAGCACTAAAGCACAAGTGTCAGATGTGATAGGTTCGTCCGAGCGCCTGCTTCCTCTCACAACCTGTTGGACATGTTTTATTATGTACCTTAGGCCCACATTTCACGGCCCGGCCCCCTCCCTCGCACCAGGAGTGGACACAGCCGGCCAGAGGAGAAAGCCCCCGCAGGAATTTATTGTGTTTGTTAACAGCCCAGATGAAAGCCTGAGTGCAATTGTAAAACAGATGTAATGCCCTTACAGCTGCTCCATTGCTTTGCTAATCCCCAACCTAACGTCCTACACTTCCCCATGAAGACCCCCACCCAAAAACACCGACACCATCACCTCCGGAGGGCTCAGGTTACAGGCCCACCTCCCCCCCCCGGTCGAAGAGAACCCCGATTGTCCCAGCCAGCGCTAACTCACTCCATCAAAATGCTAATAGAAAGTTGTCAGTCTGCATACAAACAACATGACATGACATATTGCCATTACGCTGGTGGGGGGGGGGGGGGGGGGGGGGGGGGTGTGAGGATAGGGGGGGGGGGGGTGTTAGGGTCGCTGTTCCCGCACAGACCCCGAGCGTACCCAGACCCAGATGCGGTGTAGGAGGCTGCTGTGTGGGTGACCTGACGTTGTTGTGGTAGTTTTATCTCCCTCAGGTGTCTGTCTTGGGTCAAATAACATTGATTTCGTCGGTCGTTGTTGTTTTTCTGTTTTTCGTGTGGTGTTTGTGGTTCGTTGGGAAGAGTTTTTACGTCTACCAGGGAAACGTACAGCACCCCATCATTAAAACGTAATGGTTTACGATGCAACATTCCTGACGGAGGCTACATTGTTTCTAGCGTTCTGTAGGTCATTTTTGCCTGTTCTTGTGTTTCATTAAACTGGCCTTTATCGTTAGTAATAAGTAATGTTTATTTATATAGCACATTTTACAGACCAATGTCACCCAAAGCACTTTACAATGTTCAGAGTCAGATATTGTTCCCATGATTCCACACACGGTGACAGAAGCGAGACCAGAACACACTGGACCATCAAAGCTCCAACCAACACCATCCATTCACTCTCTCATTTACATTCAGACCTATTGTGCATGTTTTTAGTGGTAGGGGAAACCGGAGCACCTGGAGGAACCCTACGCAGACACGGGGAGAAAATGCAAACTCCTCTCCCTGTTCCGACCAAGATAACTGGACGTATCATGACCCATTTTAAATTCCAGAATCCAGTCAATCCAGTTTATAAATCCAGGTTTTCAGCCCAAAGTCAAGTCTGATGAACTAACGTGGCCCAAGCAAAGCAATAGCATCTCCATGGCAACGATCAGCGAGTGACTGCGTTGGGAAAGTTGCGCAAACCACTTTTATCAAATGTTTTTTAGGGAATAATCAATACAGCTAGATTTCTGCCTTGTTTTTTAGTAGATTATTAGTTCCACCGTTGCACACAACTGGACCTGTGTGAGCAAACAAAATCAGATTAGAGCTACAAGTAAACTCACGTGTTTGTTGACGCTAACTGCCAGGACGCTAACTGCCAGGAAGCTAACTGCCTAACACGCACAAGGATGTCTTTCTCCTTTAAATCCAGTTAATGTTTCCCAATCTTTTACTGTGGCGAGCTGTCCATGGGAGTCAGCAAAATGATAAATGACGGGAAGCTAGGATTGGAGAAGGATTGGGTCTGGACTCGCTGATTAAAGATGTTTTTGATGATTGGAACTTACGCAGTCTTGGGTTCTATGATCTGTCCTGACTTCTATTCTGAGAGACACGATGGACAGGAGGCAGAACTCTCCATGTCAAGTCATCATTAAAGGGCCCTAATCTGTCGTCCTTAAAGGGCCCTAATCTGTCATCATTAAAGGGCCCTAATCTGTCGTCCTTAAAGGGCCCTAATCTGTCATCATTAAAGGGCCCTAATCTGTCATCATTAAAGGGCCCTAATCTGTCATCATTAAAGGGCCCTAATCTATCATCATTAAAGGGCCCTAATCTGTCATCATTAAAGGGCCCTAATCCGTCATCATTAAAGGGCCCTAATCTGTCATCATTAAAGGGCCCTAATCTGTCATCATTAAAGGGCCCTAATCTGTCATCATTAAAGGGCCCTAATCTGTCATCATTAAAGGGCCCTAATCTGTCATCATTAAAGGGCCCTAATCTATCATAATTAAAGGGCCCTAATCTGTTGTCCTTAAAGGGCCCTAATCTGTCATCATTAAAGGGCCCTAATCTGTCATCATTAAAGGGCCCTAATCTGTCATCATTAAAGGGCCCTAATCTGTCATCATAATAAATAATGTTCTTTTCCAATACTTCTTTAACTGATAACAGTAGTTCAGAGATTAAAATTAGTTTTACAGCCCCTAAATCTTGTTTTTGTTTTTATTTCTATGTCCCGCCCTCCACCGTTTCACCAATCAGAAAGTCTGTGATCAGAACTCACCGCGTGGAGCTAATCTCACTGGTAAAGTACCATGTGGCGCAGAACTAAAAAAGGTCTCGTTATGATTCTCAAATCATTAACGACAAAACCAGGATTTCTATCTTTGTGAAAAAGGTGTTGGTTATAGATTTGTTGTTGACAAAACTCTTGTCTATTCAGCTGTTATGGTCCCAGCTGGATTCGTCTGCATATCTGGCAACCTGAGTCAGGGAGAGTGGGAGAGGCTGCAGTACCACTTTTGGACACATTTTTACATACTGCTACTTTAAATTGACATTGTGCATATTTAAGGTGAAAGAAGAGCTTGTGCTGATGTCCCTGACTCATTTCTTTCACCGACTCGATTGTTTCTGTGGATTTTATTAGATTAAAAGTCCATCCTTGTATAAATATGACCCTTGTAAATTCTTTAAAGTCATTATTTCTCTGTGTTGTAAATTTGTTCTCATACAACATTTGCATCTACACGACAAAGAGAAGTGCTAATGCTAATTCTTTTAAAAATGCGAATGAAGCCTTTAGCATTTTACTTTGGACCAGAGCAGAGAAAATGGTCTGAACCAGGCTCCACCTCTGCTGCTGAGACCTGAAGGACTGTTGTTATTATTACTATTGTTAGATACTTTTAGAATTATATATTTTTCATTTCTCCTACCGGGATCAATAAAGTATCTATCTATCTCTCTCTCTATCTATCATTAATATAATCTATCTATCTATAATCTGTCTATCCTTCGCTCCCCACCTCTCCCTGTGAACATGTGTTTGTTTGAGTTGGCCGGCGGCTCCTTGTACACCATGCACCGTTTAACGCCGCAGTCGCCCTGAGGCAGACTTGACCTCCTGCCTTCAAAAGCCCAAAGCAGAGGTCCATTGTGGGGGCCCCATAACACTTACCGGCCCCTTTAGGGCTCCTGAGCCTCCATGTTTCCCATTCATCCATCTATCTCTGCACACATTCATCACTGTCGTCATCTCATCCATCTTCATTCTGACAAACCTGGGAGGGCCCTCGGGGACACTCCAGAGCCGCGGGGCCCCTCCACGTTAAGGTCCCTGCACTCAGTCTTAATAAACAAACACAGGGGCACTCGAGGCATGGGGCCCTTAAATGACAAACAGAACAGAAACAGGAAAGGAAAGAGTTAGTCAGACTTTGGTTCATGAGAGACGTGTGTTTGGAGAGATCTGTCTGTGTCAAAACGACTGAATATTACTGTAACATCAGGATCAAACAAGAAACATCAAAAAGGCAAATAGAGAGATACTTTATTGATCCCTGTAGGAGACATTCAGGAGTCTATAACAGCAAAAATTAATGTAAAATTGATCATTCTAAAAGTCTAACAATAGTAATAATAACAGTCCTTCAGGTCACAGCAGCAGAACCTCTGCTCTGGTCCAAAGTAAAATGTTAAATACTTAATTAGCATTTTTTTAAAGTTAGCATTCCTCCAGTGGATTTTCACCTGATCCACTTGGTTCGGACCATGAATCCTCTCTGCTCTGGTCTGGACCAGTGTAAAACCATGAATCCTCTCTGCTCTGGTCTGGACCAGTGTAAAACCATGAATCCTCTCTGCTCTGGTCTGGACCAGTGTAAAACCATGAATCCTCTCTGCTCTGGTCTGGACCACTGTAAAACCATGAACACTGAACTGCAGCAACATCTCTTAGACACTTAGGACTTTCAGCTGTTTCCAAACCATTAAAAAGTAAAATTACAAATCAGTAATGTCTGTAATTGTGTCCCATCCTTATACCACATCTATCGAGCCTATCTATGTCTGACCCAGTTACGTAAAATAACTTTCTCTCCACGCAGAGATGTAGCACAGGGTCGTTTGGACTCAGGGCCGAGCTTCAGTTTCCGTGCTTTGATTGGCCGAGCTCGGAAGGAAGTGCTGTGTCAGCCTTACACTTCCTGCTTCCTGTTGTGTAGCCACAATCCCAAATTTAAAAGTCCTTTTTCCTGTGTTAACTCTGGCAGTATATCGAGGAATGACTCTCTAAATAGTTCTTTGTATTTACTGATCTGCAAACATCCAGGAGCTTCTTGTTTGGGCTGTTACTTTGTATAACTTTGTAAATGCTTAAAACGTCTGCACTTCCTCCTTGACTTGTCACATGAGTTCTTTAGACTGTGAACTCTTTGATTATTGAGCAATATTCTTGTGAAAAACTATGACACAACAGCTGCAGGTCTCCTGAGATCTGACACTTGGGTCGACTCCCGATGGTTCGGTCTAAACTTAACATTTAACATTCACCGGGAAACTTCCTGTGGATCTGACGTTTCTCACTTTTCTCCCTCTGGGTTTTAGGGTTTTTCCTCTAATTCCTCCCTATGGTCCAATACCATGTGGTCCCTCCCTATGGTCCAATACCATGTGGTCTCTCCCTATGGTCCAATACCATGTGGTCTCTCCCTATGGTCCAATACCATGTGGTCCCTCCCTATGGTCCAATACCATGTGGTCTCTCCCTATGGTCCAATACCATGTGGTCTCTCCCTATGGACCAATACCATGTGGTCTCTCCCGATGGACCAATACCATGTGGTCTCTCCCTATGGACCAATACATATGTGGTCTCTCCCTATGGTCCAATACCATGTGGTCTCTCCCTATGGTCCAATACCATGTGGTCTCTCCCTATGGACCAATACCATGTGGTCTCTCCTGATGGACCAGTACCATGTGGTCTCTCCCTATGGTCCAATACCATGTGGTCTCTCCCTATGGTCCAATACCATGTGGTCTCTCCCTATGGACCAATACCATGTGGTCTCTCCCTATGGACCAATACCATGTGGTCTCTCCGTATGGACCAATACCATGTGGTCTCTCCCTATGGACCAATACCATGTGGTCTCTCCCGATGGACCAACACCATGTGGTCTCTCCCTATGGACCAATACCGTGTGGTCTCTCCCCTATGGTCCAATACCATGTGGTCTCTCCCTATGGTCCAATACCATGTGGTCTCTCCCTATGGACCAATACATATGTGGTCTCTCCCTATGGTCCAATACCATGTGGTCTCTCCCTATGGTCCAATACCATGTGGTCTCTTCCTATGGAACAATACCATGTGGTCTCTCCCTATGGACCAATACCATGTGGTCTCTCCCGATGGACCAGTACCATGTGGTC